GCTGAAGTTATGGATCATAAAGAAGGAAGGAAAATGAACACTAAGAGAGGGTTGTTAGCTAGAGATGAAGAATAGTAGGAATCTCTCTGATGAGAGAATAAAAGACTGGAGACTATGGTCATATTAGAACATCTAAACCTTTTATTTTAGAAGTGAAGCATTTCTAAGTGATAACAATGCACAAGATATGGCCAGAGTTTGGATGAATTATCTGTATGGCTACTGAAGTTATTAATGAAAACACACTTTTATAAACATTTATACATTTCTCAAAATGTCCAGAAATGGCCATAATGCTTCTATCTTCTACTTTTTAATCTATCTAAGCTACACATTTTTATTCATTCTTCTTTTGGTGTTTTATAAAAATAAAAATTTGTAATCTGTAATACTTTTGCAGCTTTCATATATATTTTTCCTGAAAACATACAAAATTATTTGTCCACTAATTGTGTGTGCATATGGATGTGCATATATGCAGGCCCTGAATCTAACCAACCTATCTAGAAAAAGCACATAATTTTCTTGCAGTCTTAGGGCCATGTGAGAGTTAATTTAAAAGCAAAATGATCACAGTAGCATAAACAACATAGTATAATACAATGGTTAAGGGTATGGACATTGAAGCCAGGCTGCTTGTGTTCAAATCTGAGGTCTGTGTAACTGTTTAAATTATTTAATCTATCTAACCTTTAATTTCTTCAAATGTATATGTTTAACAGTAAATAACTATAAAATGCTTAAGACAGAAGAAAAAAGAAAGTTCATATTTGAACCTCATACTAATATAATACCACAGTACAAAACCACAAACTTATACTATTGGGAAAATCAGTAACTTAATCTGTTGTCCCTGATGATTTGGGAAGTTTGGGGCATCTAATTTATCAATTTCCACTTTAATGTATCATTGGAGTTGTTCTTAAATTCCAGAAAATCCCCAGCACAGGATATTCTGGTGATCCCAAAGAACCCAGTTTAGTCCTGTTATTCCTTATGCTTATGCTAACTAGAATTCCTTGGTAGCACATACTTTTTGAAACTTGTCAAAACTCCTAGAAGACTCTATAATGTCTCTGCTCTTTTGGTCATAAGGAACCCCCAGTCTCACTCCCTTGAGTTGGGCCCCTTAGATCTATCCTAATCCTACTCTACATCTCTGAAACAACCCAGGATTTTGAAGATGAACTGATATAACACTTTCTCATTAGTTTAGTGAAACTGTGGGTTGGACTACATGTGTCAACTACTAAACTACTTTCCACTAATGTCCGGACTAAGCCACAGGAAAATATTCTTTTAAATGTTAAAAGAATAAATAATTATTTTATTATTCTAATAGGATAAAATAAGAATAATTAAAATTCCTTGATTTCTCATGCCTCCATCTTATGTTAAGCATATATATATTATATATTATATATAATATATATATTATATATATATACAATTTCTTTCTCCCTCTCCCCACCATGATATTTGTTTAAACTACCTTTACAACAATAATTACAAGTATAGCATGCTATACTTTCCAAAGTGCTTACACATCTATTATTTTATTGTATGTAAACTTCCATCTTAGCTAATGCATCTTGGAAATGCATTATTACCTCCTGGTTGTAGATGAAGAAGCAATGGTTAAACAGTGATTAGTGACTTCCTCAAGATCATATTATTATTTGTTGATAGGTGAGTTGTTTTTAAACTTCAAATATCTTTTGACACTTCCTATCATGTATTTTCTATTCATTGTAAGGCTAGTGAGAATTTTGATAAAGGTCTCCTAGTAAAACTACTAAACATGTTTTTTTGTTGTTTGCTAGAAAAAGGGTCTCAATAAACCTCTTTTCAAAAAATATAAATTGAACATTTAACAAAGGAAAAATGACTATGATTTATAAATGATTATTTATAATGATATTAAAGTATTACAAACTAATACTTCCCAACTTTTTAAAATAATGACAGTGATGATATAGTTTAATCACAGAAGGGGAACTAGTTTTAATATATCTTTACCACCTTATTTAGTGCTTTACAAAACAAATTTCCTTTTGCCAAGGTGTTAATAGTTTTGTGTAGAATTGCTGTTCAAGGTCAACATTCTACAATAATCCTCAGTATTTGCCAATACTCACCAGGAACAAATAATGGGTTTGCTAATTATTAACACATTTAAAGCTAAACCTCAAGAAGTGTGAAAATGTGGTTAGGGTATCCATAAACAATCTGGCGCTGGGGCATTTCTGACCCTGGGGAGGAATTAAGTGGCTCAGTAGTCATATGGTTGAGAGGCATAACCAGCATGGACTCTGTCAGTCACCTTCCTTCTTCCTTCAACCAATCTTTTCGGTAAGAAGGTGAAGGAAATTATTTGCAGCATCACTGGCAATTTCTTTTCCACATCTACCTGTAATAACCAGGGCACAGGATATGGAAGAAAGGAAGCAAAATAGGCCTGATATTTTTGGTAAATCAGTCAGAAGAAGAATAATATCTAATGTAGACAAAACATCCATTGTCTACACACGCAACCAGGAAATTCCTTAACTAAATTCACATTTGTATCTGGTGTTCCCATGCTGTAGTGGCTTACCTGTTCACTCTGGAGCAGAAACCGGAGATCACAGAAGCTTTCGATAATATTTCCTATGTTGTTTTGTTTTGTTTTGTTTTGTTTTTTGAGACAGAGTCTCACTTTGTTGCCCAGGCTAGAGTGAGTGCTGTGGCGTCAGCCTAGCTCACAGCAACCTCAAACTCCTGGGCTCAAGCGAGTCTCCTGCCTTAGCCTCCCGAGTAGCTGGGACTACAGGCATGCACCACCATGCTCGGCTAATTTTTTTCTATATATATTAGTCGGCCAATTAATTTATTTCTATTTATAGTAGAGACGGGGTCTCGCTCTTGCTCAGGCTGGTTTCAAACTCTTGACTTCAAGCAATCCGTCCGCCTCGGCCTCCCAGAGTGCTAGGATTACAGGCGTGAGCCACCTCGCCCGGCCTTATTTCCTATGTTTTTAAAATTATTTTTTAAATTGTGGTAAAGTATACATAACATTAAAATTTACCATTCTGACCATTTTAAGTGTACAATTCAGTGGCATTAAGTACATTCACGATGCTGTGCCACCATCACCACTATTCATTTCCAGAATGTTTTCATCATCCCAAATAGAAACTCTGTAACCATTGAACATTATCTCCTCTTTCCCCTCTTTCCATAGCCCTTGGTAACCTCTATTCTACTTTCTATCTCTGTGAATTTTCCTATTTTAGATAGTTCATATAAGTGGAATCATACAATACTTGTACATTTATATCTGGCATATTTCACTTATCACAATGTTTCCAAGGTTTCCATGTTCTCATCCATGTTGTAGTATATATCAAAATTTCATTCCTTTTTAAGGTTGAATAATATTCCATGGTATGCATATATGCCATATTTTGTTTATCCATTCATCTGTCAGTGGATATTTGAGTTATTTCCACCTTTTGGCTATTGCGCATAATGCTGCAAAGAACATTGGTATACAAGTATCTGAGTTCCTGTTTTCAATTTTTTGTGTACATACCCAGAAGGGGAACTGCTGGATCATGTAGTAATTTTATGTTTAATATTTTGAGGAACCACCGTCCTGTTTTCCACAGCAGCTGCACCATTTTACATTCCAATCAGCCATGCCCAAGCATTTCCTATTTCTTCACATCCTTGCCAACACTTCCTGTTTTGGGGTGGTGGTTGTTGGTGTTGTTGTTGTTTTTATAGTAGCCATCTTAATGGGTGTGAAGTGGTATCTCACTGTAGTTTTGATTTGCATTTCCCTAATGACTAGTGATGGTGAGCATCTTTTCATGTGCTTATTAGCCATGTGTGTATTTTCTCTAAGAAATATCTATTGAAGATCTTAGCCACTTTTTGAAATTCATTGTTCAGGGTTTTTTGTTGTTGAGTTGTAGAATTCTTTATATATTCTAAATATTAATCCTTTATCAGATATATGATTCACAAATATTTTCTTACATTCTTTTGGCTGTCTTTTCATTCTCTTGATAGTTTTCCTTGATGCACAAAATGTTTTAATTTTGATGAAGTCCTATTTTATTTATATTTTTCTTTTGTTGCCTGTGCTTTTGGGTATCATATCTAAGACATCCTCACCATATTCAGTATCATAAAGATTTCCCCCTATATTTTCTTCTAACTAAGCATTTTATAGTTTTAGCTCTTCCATCTAGGGTTTTGATCCATTTGAGTTAATTTTTATATATGGTGTAAGTTAAAGGCCCAACTTCATTTTTTCATATGTTAATATTCCTATGCTTTTTGGTTATATTTATTTTTCTCATTTCTAAATTTAAGATTGTAATAGCTACACCCTATATTTTCTTTTAAAACTATTATGTACATTATATTGGTAATGACTACATTGTGGACATTAAGAATGTAGTTTTAATTCGACAAGGCAATTTTTCGGTTGATTGTACTGTATAGGCTAAGTATACATCACACCATAGCGTCTTAGAGGCCTGTGGAAAAGAGAACTAGACAAGAGGCAGAGTGTGTGTGTGTGTGTGTGTGTGTGTGTGTGTGTGTGTGTGTGTGTTTAAGGTTAGGAAAAGTAGCCAGCTTTAGAGATGAGTGCTGTACTTAAGTAGTGGGTTTGGAAAATAACTGGTGTCAAGACCCCTGCCCTGAGTGAAACCTCTAAGGATTTTATGATTGGAAATTAAATCTAAAAGGATCTTCTAATGCTTCTGTGGAATAAAGACATTTCTTGGTAGTCCAGGGCAGATCATTTTTGTTTTCTGCCCAGTATTAACTCCAGGACGCTGACTCCGCGCGCCCCTGGCGTCGCTGTCCCCCTGGCCACGGTCCTCGCTCCCTCTCCGGCGGCCGCCGCTCCTACTCGCGGTCCTGCCCGCCCGCCGCAGAGCCCCGCGCTGCTCTGGAGTCCAGGGACTCTCGGACCTCGCCATCCTCGCCGTGGTCCCGGCTGCCTCTCCTCCGCAGACGCCGGCGCTCCACCCAGAACACCCCGGCGAGCCCTCAGGCCCGGGCCCTGCCCTGGAGGTGGCCGTGCGCCTGCGGAGAACTTCAGATCGCTTCACATCACCCTGCCTATTTCGGGACATCGTCTCTGAGGAAAACACTGTGAGTGGCTCTCGCCCACAAAACAAAACGAAACAAAATACTTTTGGAAAGACACAGATCTAAGGCTGCCATTCCCACCACATAGATTCTGAGGGGGCACAACGTGGGACGGGCGGGGAGGCTGGGGCGGGAGGAGGGCGCCTCTGCTCAGCCGCCCGCGCCTCACGCGGAGGACACAGGCTGGGTTTGAGCTAGGGAAACAGGAGGGACCAGGAATATTTACAAACCCAGCCTCTGGAGAGGTTATGAGTCGTGGCCTGGTCAGCCGGTTATGACCTAGTGAGACAACCACCTACCTTCCCGGTCATTTACGCAACACTGACTTGTGGGTGAGTGGTAAAGTTTCAGGCAGACGCTCAGGCCACCTCAGTCAATACGTACAGGCGGGGCAGAGATAATAAGTCATAAACTTTACCGAGAAGGAGTCTGATAGTAACTGAAAATGAGAAAGCTGAAAAGAACCTCAAAAGATTATTATGCCTAAAAGTCAGCTTTCAGACTGGTTAAAATTATTTAAGACATATACTCTTCTTGAAGATTCCTGAGGATGAAGATTCTACAAGCCTACCTAGATAGTCAAGTTCTTCTACACATTTAAATGTAGCCCGTGTCCTAGAGAGGTAGCATGGTATTATGGGGAAAGTCCAGGACTTGGCATCAGAGAGTGTAATCATGTCCTGGTTCTGTCTTTTTTTAAATGGGTGAACATAGGCAATTTACCTAATCTTTCCCATTCTTAATTTACTCATCTTTAAAATAGGGATTATAGTATCAATATAATAATATTGTTACAAGGAACAAATGAGGTAGTGTATATGAAAAGTATATTGTGAAGTGCTATATAAATGTCAATTTTCCAACAAATTTATGTTTTGTATACACCCTGTACAACAGGTCATCTGTTCTATGGTCATTTATTCCTATAACCACTTGTTTCTATTTTTTATCTTTAAAATCAACATTGACACTTTTTCTTTTCTCTACAACGTTAAAGTGGTGTCACTGGACATCACTTTAAAATGGGGGCACTACTTTAAAATGGCTGTTTGTTTCACAGATTTAATTTTGGTGAGGCCAGCCTAATGAAAAAAAAAATATTTTTTTTGAGTCAGAGTTTCTGCTGCATGGGCTAGAGTGCTCTGACATCAGCCTAGCTCACAGCAACCTCAAACTCCTGGGCTCAAGTGATCCTCCGGCCTCAGCCTCCTGAGTAGCTAAGACTACAGGCACCTGCCACAGTGCCCAATAATTTTTTCTCTTTTTAGCAGAGACAGGGTCTCACTCTTGCTCAGAATGGTCTCGAACTCTTGAGCTCAAGCAATCCTCCCGCCTTGGTCTCTTTAAGTGTTAGGATTACAGGTGTGAGCCATGGCACCTGGCCCTGAAAATATTATTTTCTGTGAGCCATTGTATTTATAATTCAGGTACTGGCACCAAGTGAGTGGTGGTGCCTGGTTTATGGTTGTGTAGGCTCACAGTCTAGTTTATCCTCGATTTGGGTAAGAGCATATAAATTTGTCCATAACCTAGTCAATTTTTAAAAATTGTATCCATTTATTTAACAGAATAAGTCCTAAAGTATGACCTATCTAATTACTAATGGCATAAGTTAAACATATTCAATAAAATTTAGAGAAACACAGATACTTATATATAAAGTGCCTCCATCACTCAATTTCAATTCCAGTTTTTTGAGACTGAGTCTCACTCTGTTACCAGGACTAGAGTGCAATGGTGTCATCACAGGTCACTACAACCTCAAACACCCAGGCTCAAGTGATCCTCTTCTCTCAGCCTCTCAAGAAGCTAAGACTACAGGAGGCCGCTACACCTGGATAATATTTTTATTTTTTGTAGATGAAGTCTCGCTGTGTTGCTCAGGCAGGACTCCTGGCCTCAAGCGATCCTCCTGCCTCAGCCTCCCAATGCGTTAGGATTACAGGCATGAGCCACCTCGCCTTTTAATAACAATTTGTTAGAACCACAATGGTTCTTTTGGAGCTTAAGTCAGAACTGGAACATTGTACCTATTAGAATGAGTGAAAGGTGAAGGCAGTAGACAGCTACCGAGTGTACATTCCTGAAAGTCCTGAAGAACAGGTGGATCAAGTTGCCAATGTAGACAACATACGGTGGGAACTAGAAAGGAGTTGTGATGTGCTGAGAATCAGTCAGTGGGATGTCAGGGAGAATATTGAATATTGACATTAAATCAGAACCAAAATGAGCCAGGAATTAAGAAACTGAAAAAGATGCCTTACCAGGTCAAAAATTAGGGGCAAAATGAGTCAGGCTGCCATGGGAAAAAAACTATGTATCTTTGGGGTTGTGTATAAACCAATGCTTCCTGGAAACTATAGTCTCCCTCTGGGTTAATGGTCAAAAGCTTGCCATGGTTGTTGTGTTTTTGTTTTGTTTTTTTTGTTTTTTGTTTTTTTTTGAGACAGAGTCTCACTGTGTTGCCCAGGCTAGAGTGCCATGGCGTCAGCCTAGCTCACAGCAACCTCAAACTCCTAGGCTCAAGCGATCCTCCTGCCTCAGCCTCCCGAGTAGCTGGGACTACAGGCATGTGCCACCATGCCTGGCTGATTTTTTTCTATATATATCAGTTGGCCAATTAATTTCTTTCAATTTATAGTAGAGACGGGGTCCTGCTCTTGCTCAGGCTGGTTTCGAACTCCTGACCTCGAGCAATCCGCCCACCTCGGCCTCCCAGAGTGCTAGGATTACAGGCGTGAGCCACCGCGCATGGCCTTTGTCTTTCTTTTTAATCTGAATTTTTTTTTAAAGGAGTGCAGTGGCATGATCATGGCTCACTGCAACCTTGGACTCCTGGGCTCAAGTGATCCTCCCACATCAGCCTCGCGAGTAGCTGGGACTACAAGTGTGCACCACCATGCCAACTTGTTTGTTTATTTATTTATTTAGAGACAGCATCTCGCTGTGTTGCCCAGCCTAGTCTCAAATTCCTGACCTCAAGCAATTCTCCTGCCTCAGCCTCCCAAAGTGCTGGGATTACAGGTATGAGCCACTGCGCCCAGCCTAAATCTGATATTTTTTGAGTGCTTGCTATGTGCCATCACCATTCTAAGAACTTTATTTGTATTATCTTCTAATCTTTACAACAACCCCATAAAGTAGGTAATTTATTTATCTGCATTTTATAGATGAAGAAACTGAGGCAAAGAAGGTTAACCAGCTTGTCCAAGCTTACTCATCCAAAAATATTAGAGTTATGACTCCAATCTAGGCTGCCTGACTCCAGAGCTTGCACTCTAAACCATTATGGTACATGGCTCCCTGGAGTTTGTTTGTTTGCCTTAAACACCAAATTTATTTCTCATGGTCTGGAGCTTGGAAGTCAGAGATCAAGGTGGTTTCAGCAGGTTTGGCCTCTCCTAAGTACTCTCTCCTTGGCTTGCAAATGGCCATCTCCTTGCTGTGTCCTCACATGGTCTTTTCCCTGTGTAAGGGCATACCCCTAGTGTCTGCTCCTTTTTAGTCTTAATTCATGTTTATCATTTCACTGGGCTCAGCCTGCTCTTGAGAGAGATGGCTGAAGATGCATATCATGTCCAGATATTATTTAGTCTACTTTTTCCTGTTAAGAACGTAGTATTTAAGGAAATTTCAAGTACAACTTAAGGAAAAAATCTTTAACTTTATCCTTTTTGGAGTGAAAAAAGCCTGTACATAGTTTGCTGCATAAAAGCACTTGTGATTTTGTCATCAGAATTCTTTATGGCTGGTTTTGCTCAATTTTGGAAGTTTACTTATAGAAAATAAGTTGGCTTTGTTTCTCCTCTCTCGAGGAAAAAGACCACATTACCTCTTTGCATTCTAAACTCTCAGTGCCTGCATGTTTTCTCCCTGGTAGCATGTTCAAATGAAAATGTCAGACAATTAGATATGTAAGATTAGAACTCGAGAGAGATTAGGAGTAGGGATATGATCTAGGGTGTTATTCATAAAGAAACTAGAGTTGAAATTATGGGAAATACCTAAGATCTCCAGAGAAAAAGATTTAAAAAAATGAAAAAAGAGAGTTCAGTCCAGGCAGAAAAGACATTATAGAACACTCTAGTCCAATCTTTTGCACAAAGCTCAACTTCCCAGAATAAAATCAACCAGTCTCTATGACCATCCCTAGGGGAACTCATTAGCCCCTCCACTAGTTTTCCATTGCCACTATAACAAATTATCACAAATTTAGTGACTTTAACAATACCAAATTATAATCTTATGGTTCCGGAAGTCAGAAGTTCAAAATGGGTTTCACTGTGCCAAAATCAAGGTGCTGGCAGGACTATATTTCTCCCAAAGGCTCTGGGGTAGAATTAATTTCCTCACCTCTCCTAGTTTTCTAGAGGCTGCCTGCATTCCTTAGTTTCCAAGCCTGCAGAATAGCATATGCTATGGTTCGAATGTTTGTCGCTTCTCCAACCCATGTTGAAATTTAATTGCCATTGTAACAGTATTAAGAGGTGGGACATTTAGCAGGTATTAGGCTCTTCCCTCAAGAGTGGATTAATGCCTTTAATGCAGGAGTGGGTTCTTTATAAAAGAATGAGTTTGGCCCCCTTTTATCTCTCCTGCCCTCTCTTTACCTTTCCTCCTCCCACCATGGGATGATGCAGCAAGAAGTTCCTCGTAAGATGCTGGCCCTTCTATCTTGGGCTTCCCAGCCTTCAGAATTATGAAGAAATACATTGCTGTTATTTATAAATTACCCAGTCTGTGATATTTTTTAATAGCAGCACAGAAGGGACTGAGATAGCATTCTGTACATCTCTCTGTGACGCCCTCCTGTTTCCAGCATGACATCTCGTGTGATTCTTCTGCCTCCTTCTTGGGTCTTTTAAGGACCCTAGTGATTACATTAGGCCCATCTGCATAATCCAGGATTGTCTCCTACTTTAAAGTTCTTAAATTATTCACATCTGCAAATCCATAAATTATCACATCTGCAAAGTCCCTTTTGCTATGTAAGGTAATACATT